TGTGCAGAAGCTTTTTGGTTTGATATAATCCCATTTATTTATTTTTCCTTTGGTTGCCCACCCATGCTTTTGGGGTCTTATTCATGAAGTCTGTGTCCAGTCCTATTTCCTGAAGTGTTTCTCCTATGTTTTCTTTAAGAAGTTTTATTGTTTCAGGGGCCGGCCTGGTGGCGCACTGCTGCAGTGTGCCACTTGGGAGCGCGGCGGTGCTCCCGCCGAGGGTTCGGATCCCACATACAGACCGGTTCCCGCTCACTGGCTGAGCGAGGTGTGGGTGCAGCACCGAGGGTTGCGATCCCGTTGCCGGTCCTGGTCCGGTACGGGCGTGACACTTAGGGTTGCGATCCGTTGCCGGACACGAAAAAAGACAAAAAAGGAAAAAAAAAAAAGAAGAAGTTTTATTGTTTCAGGGTGTATATTTAAATCCTTAATCCATTTTGAGTTGATTTTAGTATATGGTGAGAGGTATGGGTCTAGTTTCATTCTCCTGCATATGGATATCCAGTTCTCCCAGCACCATTTGCTGAAGAGGCAGTCCCTTCCCCAGTGAATAGGCTTGGTGCCTTTGTCAAAGATCAGATAGCAGTAAGTGTGTGGGTTGATTTCTGTGTTCTCTGTTCTATTCCATTGATCAGTGTGTCTGTTTTTATGCCAGTACCATACTGTTTTGGTATGAGGATATGATTAGCTCATCCTGTTTGAGCAGCCACAACCAGCCTGTGGATTGACCCTCCTGGGCTCAGTGCTTCAAAGAGAGAGAGAGAGAGAGAGAGAGAGTATAAAACAGAAGTGTTCCTTTAGTAGAGGCTATGTGCAGGGCAACTTCCTTGGAAAGGACTCAAAGTATGATAAGAATCACAACTTCTAATAAAGCTACGTTTATTCTTCTAGACAAAGACACAATTTCTAGCATTTAGTGCCTTGCCCAAAAGTGTATTTTTAAAATGGTAACAATAGAAAAGTTCTATCTATGAGTACCCCATCTACATTATTTATAAAGATAGATTTGAATCGAAATATTGACATGTGCTTGATAATTTTATTGTTATTTGCAGTTTAAAATTAATTATCCTGAGAGTGAAGACTTTGCCTTTCTATATGGAACAATATTAACAGATGGAAAAGACTCTTATAGTGAGGAGCCAACTACCAACATCTGTGTGTTTGCAGATGAACAGGTATTAAAACTATAATTTTAGGCATGAAAATAGGTAATATGGAAGTAGAACACTATGAACATTCTTATCTTCATTTATTCTGAAACAGGTTGACAGAAGTCCTACTGGCTCAGGAGTGACAGCCCGAATTGCCTTACAATATCACAAAGGGCTTCTAGAACTGAACCAGACCAGAGTCTTTAAAAGCAGCACAACTGGCTCAGTGTTCACAGGGAATGCTGTGAGGGTGAGTGAGACCCTTGGCTTCTTATTTGTAAATGTGTTGCTTGTGAGACTGAAAAGGCTTGAGTTAGATAAGTTTCTTCACTCAGCTCTCAGAAGAGAATTTTAAAACAGGCCTGTAAAATCTTCTGTTCAACTAGGACATCGATTCTCAAAAGTGTGGCCTTGGGACCCCTGGGGGACCCAGAGGTCCTTTTCATAGGTCAAAACTATATTCATAATAACCAAGATGTCATGTGCTTTTCACTTCTCATTCCCTCAAGATTATAAATTGGACTTCCCCAGAGGCTACATGGTGTGCGATATTCCAAACAGTTGAATGCAGAAGCAGATATGAGAATCTAGTTGTCTTCTGTTAAGCCACACATGAAAAAGGTTTGCAAAAATGGAAAACAATGACACTTTTCTCATAAAAATTTTTTTTGGCAAATGTAGTTACTTTCACAAAAATGTGTTATTTATGTGTCAACATATAATGAGTTTATTTTTTAAATGTAATGAAATTAAATATTGGAAATTAAATATCTTTAATTCCCAACACAGTAAATATTGATAGATATAACTTACATAAACAAAAACTCTTTGGAGTCCTTAAATCTTAATGTATAAAGGGGTCCTGAGACCCAAAGTTTTGAGAAACACTAAATTAGGGTTTGGATTTGTTTTTTGTTTTTGTTTTATTCTGTAGGAGTATTTAATTTTATATAATAGGAAGTGAAAGCCATGAAAAGTACAATTTTTGCAATGGAATCAAATTTTAAATATGCTAATACAGCTAATTAATAAACCTACTCATAGTAGTAAATGAAATCTACTACAGAATGATTAATCTACATTCAGTAAATGAACCTACTCATAGTTTGTTAACATAGCAAACAATCTATCCTAATATAGCTGTTTTTGTCTTTTTTCGTGTCCGGCAACGGATCGCAACCCTCAGTGTCGCGCCCGTACCAGACCGGGACCGGCAACAGGATCGCAACCCTCGGTGCTGCGCCTGCACCTCACTCAGCCAGTGAGCGGGAACCGGTCTGTATGTGGGATCCAAACCCTCGGCAGGAGCGCCGCCTCGCTCCCAAGCGGCACACTGTAGCAGTGCCCTCAGTGTCGCGCCCGTACCAGACCGGGACCGGCAACAGGATCGCAACCCTCGGTGCTGCGCCTGCACCTCACTCAGCCAGTGAGCGGGAACCGGTCTGTATGTGGGATCCAAACCCTTGGCAGGAGCGCCGCTGCGCTCCTAAGCGGCGCACTGTAGCAGTGCGCCACCGGGCCGGCCCCTAATATAGCTGTTTTTAAGGTTTGCTTTTACTGAATATTGCATTTTCTTTAAATTAAAGATTCCTATATCCTACAGTGATCTTATGATATGCCAAACCATTTATGTTGTATGCAAAAATTTGGAATACATTATCTTCAGAATCTGAGATTGAAGATACAAATAATAATGTACAACATTTAATGGGTACTTCACTATGTGTCAGTTTCCAAGCTAAATACTTCATACACACCATCTCATTTCATCCTCGTGAGAATCCGAGGTTGTCAGGATTCTTATTATCCTTTTTGACAGATGATGAAATGGAGAATTAAGGCGGTTAGTTTGCCAGAGGTTAGGTGGTGAGTAGTGGAGCCAGCTTGTGAATGGGGTCTCTCTGAGCAGACCCAATGCTGTTAAGCACTACGTTACATTGCTATCACACAAAGCAAAAGTTCGTGAGGCTTTATATTATAGAAGCTTTATAAAATAATAAATTACTGTGTCCTAATTAAATATTTGACATTTTACCTGAAGCTTCAGATATTCTTGTTTTAAAAATTACAAAATAAAAATAAACATTAAGATTTGAAGGTTTTCATGACTTCACTTGCACCACGCTCCCTCCCTCTCTCTCTGGGCTCTTCTGGGCTCTCTGATGGTTCCTTTTCAGTCTCTCCCTGCCACAGCTTACTGTCCCTGTTTTTCCGTTCAGGTGTCCCCAGCACTTCATCCTCACCTTCCTTCTGATCCCACCTACAATTTAATGCTGCTGGGCAGTTTCATCCACTTCCTAGGCTCCAGTTCTCAACCAACTACTGCTGATGAGTCCCAAGCCTTCATCCCTACCGTGTCTACCCTGTACCTCTTTCTAATCTAACACTCTGATTACCATCTGTTTCCTAGACCCATCTCTAAGTGACTATCTCAGAGGTATCTCAAAATCAGCTTGTTAAAAACTACCCAAGTGGTTCTGGATTCAATCCATCAATTAAGATTATCTCTTAACAGGTTTCTGGGTTTCTAGTCTCTCTCCACTACAGAGTGTCCCTGACTCTACAGCTAAATTTATCTAAAACACAAGTGTGACTGTGTCACTCTCCTTAAAAACCTTCCATTACTGATAGAATTAATCCTGGGTTTTTCTTTAACGTGATAAAAATCAAGAATACAACTTTTAGGTCAGATACAGTACAAGTGCAATATTTTGATAGTATACTCCATTATCTTCTTTTTTTCAGGAAACAAAGTGTGGTGATTTTAAAGCTGTTGTAGTGNCCCATTCAGGATGATTCATTGCCTGATTTTTTTTCACATTATTCCCTCCAAGCTTCTGAGAATGAGGATATGATTAGCTCATCCTGTTTGAGCAGCCACAACCAGCCTGTGGATTGACCCTCCTGGGCTCAGTGCTTCAAAGAGAGAGAGAGAGAGAGAGAGAGAGTATAAAACAGAAGTGTTCCTTTAGTAGAGGCTATGTGCAGGGCAACTTCCTTGGAAAGGACTCAAAGTATGATAAGAATCACAACTTCTAATAAAGCTACGTTTATTCTTCTAGACAAAGACACAATTTCTAGCATTTAGTGCCTTGCCCAAAAGTGTATTTTTAAAATGGTAACAATAGAAAAGTTCTATCTATGAGTACCCCATCTACATTATTTATAAAGATAGATTTGAATCGAAATATTGACATGTGCTTGATAATTTTATTGTTATTTGCAGTTTAAAATTAATTATCCTGAGAGTGAAGACTTTGCCTTTCTATATGGAACAATATTAACAGATGGAAAAGACTCTTATAGTGAGGAGCCAACTACCAACATCTGTGTGTTTGCAGATGAACAGGTATTAAAACTATAATTTTAGGCATGAAAATAGGTAATATGGAAGTAGAACACTATGAACATTCTTATCTTCATTTATTCTGAAACAGGTTGACAGAAGTCCTACTGGCTCAGGAGTGACAGCCCGAATTGCCTTACAATATCACAAAGGGCTTCTAGAACTGAACCAGACCAGAGTCTTTAAAAGCAGCACAACTGGCTCAGTGTTCACAGGGAATGCTGTGAGGGTGAGTGAGACCCTTGGCTTCTTATTTGTAAATGTGTTGCTTGTGAGACTGAAAAGGCTTGAGTTAGATAAGTTTCTTCACTCAGCTCTCAGAAGAGAATTTTAAAACAGGCCTGTAAAATCTTCTGTTCAACTAGGACATCGATTCTCAAAAGTGTGGCCTTGGGACCCCTGGGGGACCCAGAGGTCCTTTTCATAGGTCAAAACTATATTCATAATAACCAAGATGTCATGTGCTTTTCACTTCTCATTCCCTCAAGATTATAAATTGGACTTCCCCAGAGGCTACATGGTGTGCGATATTCCAAACAGTTGAATGCAGAAGCAGATATGAGAATCTAGTTGTCTTCTGTTAAGCCACACATGAAAAAGGTTTGCAAAAATGGAAAACAATGACACTTTTCTCATAAAAATTTTTTTTGGCAAATGTAGTTACTTTCACAAAAATGTGTTATTTATGTGTCAACATATAATGAGTTTATTTTTTAAATGTAATGAAATTAAATATTGGAAATTAAATATCTTTAATTCCCAACACAGTAAATATTGATAGATATAACTTACATAAACAAAAACTCTTTGGAGTCCTTAAATCTTAATGTATAAAGGGGTCCTGAGACCCAAAGTTTTGAGAAACACTAAATTAGGGTTTGGATTTGTTTTTTGTTTTTGTTTTATTCTGTAGGAGTATTTAATTTTATATAATAGGAAGTGAAAGCCATGAAAAGTACAATTTTTGCAATGGAATCAAATTTTAAATATGCTAATACAGCTAATTAATAAACCTACTCATAGTAGTAAATGAAATCTACTACAGAATGATTAATCTACATTCAGTAAATGAACCTACTCATAGTTTGTTAACATAGCAAACAATCTATCCTAATATAGCTGTTTTTGTCTTTTTTCGTGTCCGGCAACGGATCGCAACCCTCAGTGTCGCGCCCGTACCCGACCGGGACCGGCAACGGGATCGCAACCCTCAGTGCTGCGACTGCACCTCGCTCAGCCAGTGAGCGGGAACCGGTCTGTATGTGGGATCCGAACCCTTGGCAGGAGCGCCGCTGCGCTCCTAAGCGGCGCACTGTAGCAGTGCGCCCCCGGGCCGGCCCCTAATATAGCTGTTTTTGTCTTTTTTCGTGTCCGGCAACGGATCGCAACCCTCAGTGTCGCGCCCGTACCCGACCGGGACCGGCAACGGGATCGCAACCCTCAGTGCTGCGACTGCACCTCGCTCAGCCAGTGAGCGGGAACCGGTCTGTATGTGGGATCCGAACCCTTGGCAGGAGCGCCGCTGCGCTCCTAAGCGGCGCACTGTAGCAGTGCGCCACCGGGCCGGCCCCTAATATAGCTGTTTTTAAGGTTTGCTTTTACTGAATATTGCATTTTCTTTAAATTAAAGATTCCTATATCCTACAGTGATCTTATGATATGCCAAACCATTTATGTTGTATGCAAAAATTTGGAATACATTATCTTCAGAATCTGAGATTGAAGATACAAATAATAATGTACAACATTTAATGGGTACTTCACTATGTGTCAGTTTCCAAGCTAAATACTTCATACACACCATCTCATTTCATCCTCGTGAGAATCCGAGGTTGTCAGGATTCTTATTATCCTTTTTGACAGATGATGAAATGGAGAATTAAGGCGGTTAGTTTGCCAGAGGTTAGGTGGTGAGTAGTGGAGCCAGCTTGTGAATGGGGTCTCTCTGAGCAGACCCAATGCTGTTAAGCACTACGTTACATTGCTATCACACAAAGCAAAAGTTCGTGAGGCTTTATATTATAGAAGCTTTATAAAATAATAAATTACTGTGTCCTAATTAAATATTTGACATTTTACCTGAAGCTTCAGATATTCTTGTTTTAAAAATTACAAAATAAAAATAAACATTAAGATTTGAAGGTTTTCATGACTCCACTTGCACCACGCTCCCTCCCTCTCTCTCTGGGCTCTTCTGGGCTCTCTGATGGTTCCTTTTCAGTCTCTCCCTGCCACAGCTTACTGTCCCTGTTTTTCCGTTCAGGTGTCCCCAGCACTTCATCCTCACCTTCCTTCTGATCCCACCTACAATTTAATGCTGCTGGGCAGTTTCATCCACTTCCTAGGCTCCAGTTCTCAACCAACTACTGCTGATGAGTCCCAAGCCTTCATCCCTACCGTGTCTACCCTGTACCTCTTTCTAATCTAACACTCTGATTACCATCTGTTTCCTAGACCCATCTCTAAGTGCCTATCTCAGAGGTATCTCAAAATCAGCTTGTTAAAAAGTTCTTCCTTCCTTCCTTCCTAAAATATGCTCTTCCTCTCTCATTCCCCATCTTGGTTAATGGCATCACAGGTGTCACTTTTAACCTAGAAAGTGTGGTCATATTTAACTTATTCCTCTTACTCTTTTCCCATATACCTCAATCAACAGGCCTGTCATTTCTACCTCCAAAGTGTCTCTATGTTATGTGCTCCTTCTCCATCTTCCATAAAAACTACCCAAGTGGTTCTGGATTCAATCCATCAATTAAGATTATCTCTTAACAGGTTTCTGGGTTTCTAGTCTCTCTCCACTACAGAGTGTCCCTGACTCTACAGCTAAATTTATCTAAAACACAAGTGTGACTGTGTCACTCTCCTTAAAAACCTTCCATTACTGATAGAATTAATCCTGGGTTTTTCTTTAACGTGATAAAAATCAAGAATACAACTTTTAGGTCAGATACAGTACAAGTGCAATATTTTGATAGTATACTCCATTATCTTCTTTTTTTCAGGAAACAAAGTGTGGTGATTTTAAAGCTGTTGTAGTGGAAGTATCGGGACAACCCCATTACACGGGTACAGCAAGCTTTATAGTAGAAGATGATGACCCGCTGAGGGATGGATTTCTTCTCAAGTGACTTCTTCCTTGACTTTTAAGGGCTTTCTTTTTAAAATAATTATTACCTATAAGTAATTTTTTCTGTAAATTATGTGAAAACCATTATCTACATTACACATATAAGCTAACTTTCATTCGTTCTCAAATAGCACTGTAGTTAAATATAAAGTCATTATACCTCACATTTGCAAATGTATATTGGTATAAATATCATATATGTCTAGCATACAAAATTCAGAATCTTCTAGTTGTTAACGTACCAGGTAAAATTAAAACCTTATTTACTTTAAAAATTTTATTCTACGATAATTACTGTAATTTTGTTTTAAAGGCTCTTTGAATAATATCTGGAGTCTTTGTCCTCATAACAATGCGCTTTATGAGTTCATTATTTTAATCTTCCAGTTCTTGAGTAAAAGTGCCCTCTCTATAAGCAGCATGCAAAGGAGATGGATTATTTTAATGTACTCAAAACTAAGCAGAAATAGTCTGGGAAGGATCCTGCTGGAGTCGACCTCTTTGACAAGGCATTGTTATAGCTACTGCTGGGGTGTTTTCTGTGCTGCAAAGCTCAACTCTTACACCCACAGGTACTAAAGTATCATAAACTGATGCTGAGGAGACCAACTAGTAATCAGACTTTTGCTATATCTTTAAGGCTTTTCTAAAAGGGATTGTTTATTGTATCATTGAAGTACAGGTACCTACACAGTAGAAATTAATCATTGCCTCATTACAATGGAATGAGGCTCATACTCTGAGAATTCAGTAGATTCTCTTGTGAGGTAGGTAATAGTATTTTATCTCTGAACATATAGAAACTGAAGTAATGAACTCATCTTAGCTGGCTTTCTCACCCAGCAAGTCTATGTAGACCCAGTTATTAGGACTGTGATTTAATTGTCTGACCATAAGGAAGACTATAAAATTAATGTTTTTGATATCCCTATTACACAAAAACAGTTAAGATGTTATTCACTCATTCTCTATAAAATTCTGTGGTAAAGAAATGACTTACTGACATAAAATGACTCTCTCACTACTAACTCCATGTGACCACATTGGCAGATTTGCTGTACTTTTTTTAAAAAAGAAAAACAGAACCACCATTTTCTCTCCAAATCTCACAAGTCACATTAATTAAAAAAAAAAATTGTTTAAAAGTTACATTTTATAGCATTTTATAATGTGCCACACACACATCCTCTACTTTAATGAACTACACTATGAAATACATATTATTATCTCATGGCTACTAAGGGTGTTGTTAAAAGTTACATTTTATAGCATTTTATAATGTGCCACACACACGTCCTCTACTTTAATGAACTACACTATGAAATACATATTATTATCTCATGGCTACTAAGGGTGGGAGTATTTTTATCACTGACATTGTCAGCACTTGGTGATAATAAAACAGCAGACTGACTTTTTTTTTTTTTTTTTTAAAGATGACCAGTAAGGGGATCTTAACCCTTGACTTGGTGTTGTCAGCACCACACTCTCCCAAGTGAGCCACGGGCCGGCCCCAGACTGACTTTTAGTTGATGTTATTATTTTAGAAGTCTCTACACGCAACTGTACCAGGCAGACCACTCCCTCTGGCCCACTGTGGTATCCCCCTGTTTTTATCCCATGTATACACAGGAGAGAGATGCAGTTCAGGCATACTGAATAATGACCCCTAAGGTCATATTAGAGGCTGTGAATGTAGAACTTCTGCCTCCAGAAGTCCAGTATTTTCCTACTACACTTCCTCCACTTATAAGATAGGGTGGCCAGAACTTGTTCTAGGATATAGTACTTTAATAAAAATGTTATATTTCTTGAAAGTTAAAAAATAGATAATGCTTAAATCTTCCTGAATTGTAATCCAAAGCAGAGCCAAGCCCTTGCAATAGTGTTCATTCTTCTGTCCTCGGCCCAGTCTCCCTTGGAGTCGAAAACACTAGGGAGATTCACTCCTCCTCCTCCCACCTCCACATGTCACACAGCCTTGTTGATTTTACCTTCCCATCTCTGCAAGGGTCTTGCCCCCTCAGTTAATCTCTTTCAAGTATCTCCATCCTCTTCCTCCTCACTTGTTCTTTCCCCTAAGTACTTAAATGTGCTCATTGTAAACAAAATGAAACATCCCTTGTCCCTCCTTCCCTCTTTAGCTTGCTGTCACTCCTATCTCCTTTGTATTCAAATGTAAAGATTCCTTATTTTCTGTTCCTTGGGTACATTTTTCATCTTCCATTTACTATTCAATTATTGAAATCTAGTTTCTGCTTCATTACTCATTGGAAACTGTGCTTGACCTAATCGCCAGGTCTAATGGTCACTGCAGGGCTTATGCTTGCTACTTGCAGGCCAGTGTGGCACATTTTAGAGCAGGAACCTCCACTCTCTTGGTGCTGAGCTCACCTACAGAGCCATTCAGTGAGATTCCCAAGGCCATTTTGTTGGTGCCGAGTCCCCATTAGTACCCACCAGGTGCTGTGATTGTATGGGCCCAGGTCCATCTCCTCTCCACCATGAACTTGCAATGCTCTTTGCTCCAAGTCCTCCAGACTCCATAAGAGTTCGGTCACCCTTCTCCTCAACCCTCGAAACCCACAGATTCCATATTATCCCCTCTTAGGACAATGCTTTTCATACTTTAGTGTGCATGTGAATTACCTTAACATGCAGAGTCTTATTCATTAGGCAGGGGCAGGGCATTTCTAACAAGCTCCTATGTGATGCTAATGTTGCTGGTCGGAGGACTGCACTTTGAGTAGCAAAATTTTTTGACAAATCTATTTTAATTACCTGATTGGGCCCAGGCTTTACAGGTGAGTCTCCCCTACCTGGCAAATTCTCTTAGCTCTGAAAAACATGAAAAACCTGTTAGCTCTCCACCTCTAGGTAAAGGATTGGAGATGACCTCAAGATCACAGCAACTTTTCTGAGAAGAGGCTGGGAAAATTACCTTACGTTCTTCTCTGAAAACAAGACAAAAAACAAAAGCATAAGATAGCTGATTTCTCAAAAGGCCAATGTGCCTCATTAAATACATCACTCATCTGCTTAGCTTTTCTCTCTTTAACTGCTTAATTTTTTCTACTCCCTAGCATTCCACCCATGGTTCTTTTCTTTATTCAGTAGGCTGTCCCTAAGTTGTTGCATTCATGCCCATGGTCTTCTCCCTTGTAGAGAGGCTGACAACATCCAAATCTAAATCCTGATGTCCAGAGCCATACTGCAGGTTCGATACTGAAGAGGACAAACCAAACTTATCTTCCACCACCATCCACCAAGCTAGGAACTTGGGATTAACCCTTGGCTCCTTATTCATCCTCTTCCATCCTCTCTGCTGATGCTCCTGATGTCTGTGAGTTTGGCTGGCCATCATTCCTTTCCTCTTCTTTTGTCAACACTTTTTCCTTCCATCTTTGCATGTAGTTTTTCTGGGACTGCTAGGAAACCGGTACACTAGTCAGACTCTCTCCCCTAGGACCTGAGATCTTGAGAAATTCCATAATGTCTAAAAATTGATTGGTGTTGACTTATTCCACTGGTGCCCTAAAGAGATCACCCTCAATTAGTTTCTGCTGTCTCTACCTGCAGAACTGCCCTGACTTCTCTTGTTCTTGGAGCTGGTTGTTATAGGCTGTCCTTTAGTAATATGAGCTTCTCGTATTCTTCCAGTAAATTCCTTTTTTTTGGTTATGTGAGCCAGTGCCCTCATTGTTTATGTTGCTTATATCCAAAGAACCCTAATCCATACACTACCTCCTTAAAATCTCTTTCCCTTCTTCACTGGAAAGAGCTACTTCAGACTCTTTATTTCTCACCTGGACTATTACAATACCCTTTCTTAACAGCTTAAGATTCTCCTACAGTCAAAGCATACTTGTTATATATCAGCAGTTTGTATATCTAGCAGTTTGCCAGAGTGCTAAGCACTGGGAATTTAATAAAAAGCCAGACAGACAAGGTCTGGGTCCTCACAGAGTCTACAGTCTACAATGGGAGGCAGGTAATATTTATATAATCACAAAAATATATACACTGTGGTTATGTGCTGCAAGTGGAAAATAGAGCACTGTGAAACAGGGGAACATGATCCAATATGTGGGGAGAGGAGGGAGTCAGTCAAGGAAGGCTCTCCCTGGGGGACTAACGTTCATGTGGGGGTGAGGATGCTAGAGAACTGGGGTAGGGGGGCTTTCTTAGCAGAAGGCATGGCAAGTACAAATGCTCTCACAAAAGCCCAGTGTGACTGGAGAGAAGCAATAAAGGAAAGTGGTCCCACATGAGACTGGAGAGGAAGCAGACTCAAATTATGCAATGCCTTGTAGGAAATGTTAAGGATTGGAGTCCTTATCCTAAATTAAATGGAGAGAGCCAGTAGGGGGTTTTAAATAAGTGAATGTCATGATCAAGTTTGGTTTTTTTAAAAGAGCATTCTGCCTACAGTGTGGAGTAGGGACTGGATGTCAGGAGACTGTTAGGAGGTGATAGCAGGAGAGGATGAGAGCTAAGATTCAGGTGGTGGACAAGAGATGGAGGAAGTAAATGGACAGAGATATTCAGCAAGTAAAATCCCCAAGGCTGGTGGTGAGGAGGAATTTATCAAGAAAAATTCCAAGCTTTTGTCTTTAAGCTAGATGGATGGTGGCACCATTTTCTAAAACAATATTGAGGAGCAAGGTTTTCAGGGAAAAGAAGGATCATGAATTCCATTTTGGTCATGTTGAATTTGAGGTGCTTTTGCATGTCAAAGGGAGAAGCCAAGTAGCAGGGTATGTGAGTTGGGGCCAGAGACATAATGGGGAATTATGAATACATAAGGCCTTGGGTGTAAGTGAGGTAAGGGAAAAAGTCCAGAGGAGCTGAGGACAGGGCCTTGATGGGTCCCAGCATGTAAAGGCAGGTGGAAGAGGATGAGTTAGCAGAGGAAAGGATACTGAGGCAAACGACAAAGGAAGGAAACCAGGGGAGTGTGAGGTCACTCTTGTCTTTCTGAACCATATACCTGATCATGGCACTCCCTTGCTAAATCTCCTTCTATGGCTAGTGCCGTCAGCCTGCTCCTCTGATGAAGTTCAGTCTCCATAGCATGGCATGCAAGGCCTTCCATAAGAAGGCCCCAATAAACTGTGGTCATTATTTCCTTCTTCACTCCCCACCCCCACATATCCTAGGATTCAGACACTGCTCACTTTAACACTAACCTTCAGACTTTATACATGCATAAAATGTACTTCCATTTTCCTTTTTGGGGGGAGAGTCCAGTGTCACCCTTTGTGCAAAGTCTTCATCAGCTAACCTAGGAAGTTAGTCACCTCCATAGAATTTCATTCATATATTTTTTTAAACAATATTTATCATGCTGTAATGTATTTGTACTTGCCTAAGACTGTAAGCCTCTTTGGACTGGAATCTTTATCTTGTTTGCTGTTTCCTAAAACTAAGCACAATCTTGGAGGGTTGTGTTTGCTAAGTAAATTAATCTATAATTATATTTTTGTCTTAATTGAGTGGTCCATAACTGGGGCTGATTTCCCCTAAGAGGACATTTGGCAACATCTGAAGAGATTTTTAGTTATCATATCTGGGAAAGGTGCTATTGGCATCTCATGGGTAGAGGGTAGGGATTTTGCTAAGCATCCTACAATGCATAGGATAGCTCCTGCAACAAAGAATTATCCAGCTTAAAATGTCAGTAATGCTGAGGCTGAGAAACTCAATCTTACTATACCACGTTTTAGTGGTAGCTTCAGTTTTAGTATACCACAGTTATGTTCTTCTATTTATGCTGGCAGTTTCCAGTAAGGTATTTTTCCACAATGAAATAAGCACTCAAAGCACCAATATGTTTGATTTTAAGACCTACGAGTGTACTAGTCATTCTTTAGAGCAGTGTTTCTCAAATGACTGTGCATCAGAATCACCTGAAGGGCCCCACTCTGAGTTACAGATTCAGTAGATCTGGGGTAGGGCCTAAGAATTTGCATTTCTAAAAGTTCCCAAGTGATGTCGATGCTGCTGGTCCAGGGCCCACACTTTGCAAACCATTGCTTTAGAGAAGAGCCTAGGGGTAACCATTTGAGGCCATGCCCAGAAACTTGAGATGCAACTTCCCTGGGCAGCCACACCTTTCCTGTATCTCCCAGCTAGGTATCTGGAGCTGCTGCTGTGCCGACTGCCAGGCTGGCAGCACCTTAAACTCAGAACACATCAGAGAACAGATGGAGGCTGCCAGCGGGTCAAGGAACCAATCCCTCTTCCTCCCCTCATTTACTAGCCAGTTATGGTCCTGAGGTCCAAGCCCTTAAATACGAGGTGACTTCTTACCTCCAAGATCCACATTCTAGCTCCTCAGAGCACCTGTACTCTGAAATCGCCTACAGGGTTTAGATTCGTGGGCGCACCTCGGTAATTCTGGGAGTCAGCCAAGGAATCTGCATTTTAACAAGCTCCCTACATCAATAGTTCTCAAAGTGTGGTCCTCAGACCAGCAACATCTTCATCACCAGAGAATTTGTCAGAAATGCAAATTCATGGGCACTCCCCCAGACCTCCGGAATCTGAAACTCTGGGGTTGAGGCCCAGTCACTTGTGTTTCGACGCGCCCTCTAGGTGATTCTGTTGCACTCTCAAGCTTGAGAGTGATCCGTTAAAATTATTCTGCCCCTCTTGTTTAAGATCTCTGGATGGAAATCGTTTTTCACTTCAGGTTCTAGATTTCTTTCCTGTCTGCATATGCTAAAAACACCCTCAGGGAGCAAAGCGCCCCCGACAAAGCCTCCCTGTGGGACACTCGCACTGGACAAGAGAGAGCCACAGTGAACCTTCGCTGAATGCGGTCATTTGTTTGCGGGCCAGTCCCGCTTCGTGCGCCCGGGCAGTGGTCCCCAAGAAGGTCGATCTGGCACTCTCCCAAGCCCAGGTCCCCGGCTGGGTCACCTCGGGGAGAGGCGATGTCGTGGGCGGGCTTTTCCGAGGGTACTGCGCTAGCGTCCCGCCCCGCGCTCCTGCGTAAACACGCGGTTCCCTCGGCAACGGCTGGAACCCACGTAAAAGGTTCCGCCGGGTCCCGGGCGACCGCCCGCAGCGGCCGCTCCCCGCCCCCCTCCCCGTAACCTCCCCACCCGGCTCCGAGCCGCCCCGCCGGCC